ACATCAAACACTACATAACCTGCATTGCTTGGCATTATTTTTAACCATTGGATAACCAAAAATATTGTTAGGAATTATAACTACTACATCAGGGGTTTTGTAGTTATTCTCACTAAAACAAAATAAATGGACAACACATGAGAGTTGTCCAAGAGATCCACATAGGTAGGAAATACATAGGTAGGAAATACCAGGACATTCTAGGGCTGCAACTAACGATTATTTTCATAATCGATTAGTTGGCCAATAATTTTTTGGCCAACTAATCGATTCGGATAAAAAAAATACCATCTTTTATTTAAAATAAAATACAAAAATGCAGTGTTACAAATATAAGGTTTACTTCAGAAGAAAACTGCAAGCACAATTTTTGCAATCGCACTGAACTGGAACGCACGGCATTGTGGTGCAGCGTGTTCCAGTGCTGGTGATCGCATGGCAGGCATGTTTGGCCATTTAAATGAATGGCACCACAGCGCATATCCCGCAGCAGAATTTATCAGGCCAAAACCAAAAATGAATTACTTTTTTTCTCACCTTTTTAAATTTTTTGAAAATTAATTGTGTGTATTATATTAGACATTTTATCTAGTTTCATAGATTTAAAATAAATAATCTGCATTGAAAAACTCCAAGCCATTATAATAAAATAACCACACTTTAAAAAAAAAATAAAAAAAGCCTAATCATCAGTTTAGATTTAGCCATGAATATTGGTCCCAGAATTATTGCTCTCACCCTGCCGCACGCGGCGATACCCGACATGTGTAGCGCAATCGTCGTTTTCATACATAGGTGCACCCGACGTATGTAACTTTTTTTTTTTTATATTTTTCATTTTACTTTATTTAAAAACTGATTTTTTTCATAGGGGATCACAAGCCCCCTATGTGATAGCACATTGGCGGTGACAGGTTCCCTTTTAGGTGACAATAGGGGGTCTTTTGTCACCTTTCCACTTCAATAGCTTTAGCTGAGGAATGCAAATACAGCAGGCAGTGGCTGGGAGCAATAGTCAGCCTGCTATTGGTTATTTTAAATTGCAATAGCCAATAGCAGGCTGTGTATTGCACCCGCAGGCTGCCTGCTGTTAATCAGAGCAGCGGAGATCAGAAGGGACAGGGAGCCCGTTAAAAACAAAAAATGGTTCAATCAACTAATCGATGAGAATCGTTGACAACGATTCTCATTATATATTGTAATTGATTTAAATCGATTAGTTGTTGCAGCCCTAGGACATTCTGTAACTATTTACAAAGGATCTCAGCCAGATAAGTGTACACAGAAATTTGTACAAGTTATCAGCCATAACATTAGGACCATCCACCTAATATGGAGTAGGTCCCCCTTTTGCTGCCAAAACAATTGTGACCCATTGAGGCATGGACTGCACTAGACCTGAAGGTATGCTGTGCTATCTAGCACCAATCAATCAGTAGTAGATCCTATAAGGCCAGTTGACACCATATCCAGTGCGTTTTGGCACGGTTCTTGCCCGTGACGCACTGAATCGCACAAACCAAGCCTTCGTAGTACCGGTGCGGTGCGATCGCATGCCCTATTTTTTGCAATCGCACCACACTAGAATGCAGGGCCCTGTTGTACCAGGCGTTATGGTGCGAGCGATCGCACTGAAGGCGGGAGGTGTGTCTGCGGTGCCAATGACATGAATGGCACCACCATGCCCCCTCGTGCCCCAGAATGAGTGAGGTTCAGTGTATGCAATCCAGTGCGTTCTGGCCACGAACTGTGCCGAAATTGACTGGATATGGTGTGAACCAGCCATTAACATGAACCTTTACCCCTTCGACTAAAAATCACATCAGCATACAGCTCTGCATTGCTCATGCATGTAGTACTGAGAAATGTTCAGTGCTCCAGGTAACACTAAATAGTATGTCATAATTGGTGGCAGAGCAATAAAGGATTAGAAACCTATACAGATTTCAATATAGGAACCTGTAATGGAAATCACCAGCGTAGGTGTGCACATATCCTACAAAGTGTTCATTTCTTGTAAATTTGTGTATGACTGATTGTTCTTAGATAATGTATTTTTGTTCCATTTCTACCTCATGAGTCTTTTTGAGTGAAACCACCTTGGTATTCACTTGGTATCCCCAGAATCACCTCACATGATAAGAAATCTCTCAGTACGCCCCCACCACCCACGTACCGGGGATAGACTTCCTGATGCGTAGGTGTGTTGAAGAAAAAAAAAAATATTTTTACATGAAATCATAGGTAAGTTGTCGGCAATCTGACAATATGTTGCTTTATATAAAAATAAAAAAAACATGTGCGGTTCTCCCGTGTTAGTGTTGGAACATTTCATTGCGGCTTTAGAAATATAGGCTTTGATGTCACAACATTTAAACATGAAACTTTAAATACTAATGCAAGCTGCAGATTTATGAAGACAATTCCACCAAACACTGTCAGTTCTGCTTTGGGTGAAATCCGGTATATTGCATAGATTTTTTTTCCACTTAAAAGGAGAACTACGAGGTGAGTGCTTTTCACTCATAGTTCTAGCTGACCTGTGACAATGAAACTGTCAAATGTATACTGAGCTTAGGGTGATGGGAGGACGCTAGTTTGTGTCCTCCCGTTACCCTTAGGAGAACTATGGGGAAAAGCCCTAACCCCATAGTTCTCCTTTAACTCTAAATGTGATGCATTGCTTGTGATTCATCTCTGTAACAAGAAGGGTATAATGCCCCAACTCCTTGGCTTTCCACAATTTCCATACAATTTCTATACTGCGGGCCCACTGTGGTAAAATAAACAAAATGGAAGAATGAATCTGTTCTTTGTTTAATAGGGGAATTAGGGACACAGTCCCTTCCAAGAAACTCCACTCCACTGCTCCACCATGTCCTATGTTGGTGTAGAACTATAGTTAAAAAAACTGCTTTAGCGGCCCCATTGGGGTAACACCTATTTTATATGTTTACATGTTCCCATTCACATTGCATACCTTTAAAAAATTAAGCATTGCCGCTTAAATATTAAAGTGATTTTTGCCTGCTCAAAGAAGAACTCCAGAACAAAAAATGTATTAACCCTTGCAGTGGGACACCCCTGCACTGCAAGGGTTAAGTGCTCGTATTGGTCTAGGGAGGAAAATAAAGTTCTCACCAAAGCTCTGAGCCAGCCAGCTGTACAGTGCTCCCTCCAGCCTGTCTCCTCCTCCACTGTAGCGTGGAATCTTCCTTAGTGTCCTCACGCCTATACACTGTGTATAGACGTGATGATTTACGGGGACTTCAGACCGCTGTAGAGGAGGGGGAAGAGAGGCTGAAAGGACTGGTATAAGAACGAGCTGGTTCAGAGTATCAGGTGAGTATAACTTTTTTTTTAAACTAGAGAAAAACGAGCAGTTCATCCTTGCAGCCCAGGGGTAGCCCCACTACAAGGGTTAATAAAACATTTCCTGGACTTTTTAAAAAATCCTACCTAGCTACTCTCCTATGTAATGTTAAGGAGGGGGTGGGGGAAATTGTGTTCACTCTAATCAACCCTGTCTGTACTGTGCTGGCAGACCTTATTATCAATAATTATGAACACTGTCTGTCCTAAGAAAGGGTTACGGACTTAAGACCATTGTATGGTAATGAGAGGACACCGTCTGACCCTCTGTTTGTCCCTCCACTTCCAAACTGCTTAGAGTAACTGGCAGTCTGCACAAAGGACTTCACTAAAGATGCATCTAAAAAGGTAAGAAATATTTTTAAAAATATACACATTTTAAGGTATACTGCGTGAATAGGAACTCAAATATATAGAGGGGTTTTCCTCAAATTTAATTGCAAACCTGGAAATACACTTTAAAGCCACAGAAGGAAACTGGAGGCAGCAAATACTTTGGTTCCAGAAGCAGCTTCTCTGATATTTCATGGTGGCTGTTCACGTGATCAAAAAAAGGGAGGACCAGCTAGTCCCGATTGTGATCTCCTTCAGCTGAAATCATATGACAGGTGCCTAGAATTTTGGTCACGTGATTAATTGTCAAGGGATCCCAGAGCAGTATGGTTCACAGCCAAAGAACACATTTCATGCCTTGTGCTTTAAGCAAAGGGCAGCTGTTGACCTCTGCATCTCAAATACATTTGGGCACATTTACAACATGCCTCTGTAATTTCTATGATTGCCAGACCGTGTGTTAAGAGTATGTGAGCTTTCAAATGTGGAAACCTAATATGCATGTAAAACAGCCAGCATGACTGCTGACTGCCAGTGTCAGCTACTCAACTTCCCCAGTCAGTAGGTGTAATACATTTCTGTACGCAGGGCATGGTGATGAAAATGTAAGTATTCTCAAGTTTACTCAGCCAAGCTAGTTTACTTTCCGTACATCTTCTGTATATGAAAACGTATTAGCGTATATGAAAAATATGACTGTTACAACTGCACATTGTAATCTAGGAACAACAAATGCTGAACCATTTCATTTTGCAAACACAGAGAGAAACAAAGTGCAGAATCATGTAACATGAAGCTGCCGTCCCACAAAGCAGCACATGCAAGATTTGAAAAGCACACAAGTGAGAAGATTACATAACATTTAGGTGTCTATTTATATACAATTTGCAGAGCTATTGACCCTGCGATTCACTGTGAATGTCTGTTCAGTGCCAAAGGATGCATAAAACAAATGTTATTGTATATTTTCTTTATACGTTTATATGCATTTTTGAATGTCATCATGTAATACCACATTATGGGCACTAGGTGAAGTTGAGGAGCACAGAAAAGAAATACTTATTTCCTATGCTCCTTAGCTTTATCTAGTGGCCATAATGTGGTATTACAAGATGGCATTCGAAAATACATTCAACTTCTAAAGAAAATATAACAAGAACATTAATTTTGTGCATCCAAAGAATGAACATTCACAGAGACTTGCAGGGCCAGTGGCTCTGAAAATTGTTTATAAATAGACCCCTTAGGTTAAGTCTCATATCATACAAATAAGAAAATGGAAGAGGGTTCTTTACCTGTGACTGTAGCGTATTGCTATGGTCAATCCAAGCTGCAAGAAAAAACACAAATTACTCTTAGTACTGTCAGAATAAGTAAAAGTCTGTAAGCTATCAGAGCAGCAAAATCTGTTGTGACATCAGATGCTATTAATGCAATTGAACAGGATTTGGTCTCAAATATTTCCACAAGCAACATTCAGCATTATTCAAGAATGCATAAATATTTTCTAGCAGCAATGAAACTACTTGAACAATGTAATATATCATATTTTGAGAATGCCAAACACTTTAGGTACAGTAGTCTGTAACGGTACCCATAGGTCAGAACCTTCAAGTGGAGCTTGTAGGTGCTTTATTTTAGAGGCTCTGAAGTAGACACAGAAGCCCAGGGCAGTGAAGTTAAAAGATGTCCTTGATTCCATCTTGTAAACACTTAGCTGCAGGAATTACTGGTTGTGAAGAGAGACATCTTTAAGATATTCTATAGAGGTGGGGGCATGTCATGATAATCTACCTCAAACTGTTGACATCTAGCTCACGATCAGTAACAGTATCCTAACTAGCTCCTAGTTCTAACAGCATCCATCTCACTTGTCTTCTAGTAATAAATCATAAGCTGTAGCTATCATAGTACCTTTGCATTAACACATAACACTTCAAAACAATATTAATATAAATAATCTATACATTAATGCAAAACATTTTTTACAAAAGCTAACAAAAAGAAATGTCATCATCAGGTTTATTAAGGAGCATTTACCTTTTGCAATGTTTACTGAAACTTCTGCCAACTATGAACTATTCAGCTGCAAAACAATTGATCAATGCATAGTAGGTGAACAAAAGCTCTTTTCCAGTCTGTTCACCGAGTCCACATTATTCGAACATTTTGGGGTATATTTACTCAGGGACCTTTACATCGAGTCCCTCTGGGACCACTCAATGCACCTACCGGGCGTTAACAGTGTGGGGAGGTGCACTGCATTGCCGTTCATTTCAATGGCACCCCAAACACACCTCCGGCCCGCAATGCAATCAACTGCACCACAACACACGCCATTGTGGTGCAACTAAAAAAATTTGGTTTTGCCCTACTTTTTTCCACTTACGATCTTGCACACGGAAGATCCATGAGAATAAATGGAGAGAGCAAAGTGCATGTAAGGATTTTGACAAATATCAATGCAATCTTGCTAGCAGGACAGGTGAGTAAAAGACGGTGTGGGGCTTGGGCAGGGGCGTCCCGAGGCTGGGTGTCACCCGGAGCAAAGAGCGGGTGACACCCCGCCGTGACATCATCGCGATTGCGCGTGACGTTGCCGAGCACGTGTGCGATGAGGTCATTGCGTGTGCGCAGTCGTCTTATTGACGACTGACGGCGGACATATTGGTGATGGATGCCGGCAGAGAGGAGGGGACGTTCGCACAGCGGGATGAGGTATGACGCCGGGTCACCTCTTCTCTACTTACACTGTCCGTGACCAAGTGCACAACTTTTCATAGGGGGTGACACCAAAATGACGGTCAGTCATTTTGGTGTCACCCCTCCAATTGTGGCACACGGGTGCGGGCTGCACCACTCTTGTGACGCCACTGGGCATGGGGCGGACTATGGCATATAAGTGTAACTGCACTAAAGGTTTAAAAAGGTTAAAAAATTCAATGGCATCCCATCTGTAGATCCTACCCACCCCACCCCCACCTACTTCTGACAGCGACTCCTCTTCTGGATTGAATGAAATCCAGAGTCATTCAACCCACATCCTGTAAGCCCAGACTGCCATGCACACATCTCTTGGGGTTATGTCATCAGGCATCCTGGGATCACAGGACACAGTCATGCAGCACTGCCAATGCTGGAGGAAAGGAAGGAGGGCTCTGCCTGTCACATGTCTGGCCAAGTTGCCTAAGCTGGAGATGGGCCTTAGGTTTTTTATAAATGTAGTTATTTGCAATGTTTTCTTCTTGTTTAATGTCCCTTCCTTACAATCCAAAATAACTATTTACTGACTAAGTTAGCTTCGGGCTATTTTCTGCTTTAGAAACAGTTGACTGTCTGTGTTTACTCTTCTCACATAGCACAGCAAGAATATAACAAAGTATTCTTCCCATCCCTGGGGATGTGCAGAATTTTATAAACCTGAGCTGTAAAACGGGCAGTCTTTAGTCACTGCTGTACAAATTAATAAGAGTGGCAAATGTTTATCTAAAATATTTATAGCGCCTACTGCCCAACTGAGCTAAAAGCTCAACGCCAAGCAGATGTATTTATTATATCTTTAAAGCTGAAACAGATAAAGCAGATATATAAAGTTGTTATTGCAGATTTGCAGTCATTTCAAAATTATATGTATTTTGACTTTTTATTAGTGACTTGTGATCCCTTGTACAGCAGCACTCAGAATAGGAGAGAAATACTGTTTTATTTGTCCATGTAAAAATCTAGATAAGCCTTGCGAACGCATTTCCAAGGTAAATTCATCAGCGCAAACAGTAAATATTGCTTGATTTGCCTTTTGCTCTGATGAGGGTTTCATCCTGGAAACGCGTTAGCAAGGCTTATCTAGATTGCTTCGGCTCACATTCTGGTGGTTTGACAGTCCATTCTCAGGTCGACTGATGTCCCCCAAGTGTGGGTGGTTGTCTTGAATGCTCATGTTACAGACACCATTTGTGAGTATTACTTTACTAGGTTCTTTCATGGACAAATAAAACAGTATTTCACGAGGAGAAGGCGCTGTTCTTCGTTTTCTTTTACATGATCGTTGAGGCTTCCCATCTTGTTTTGGAACAGCAGCTCCCTCTGTGTACCCTATTGATGTCCATATCTGTGGATTCCCTCCATTCATCACCCTCCATTCATCACCGAGTGACTTCCACCAAGCACTGGCAGATTGGAATATTCCTTTTCTACTGTAAAAAAAATTGTTTTTCTGCACAAACATACTATTTTAAGATGTCCAGGTATGAGCTCCCTTCAATGAGGAGGCTGGAAACAAAGCACTGAGAAGGATTTCATGTATTTTGGTTTGTTGTACGTTACCCCATGTATAGTTTAATCAGGCCTATAGTGTTTTTGAATGAGTGCTAGTTTTTTCTGTGCTTTGAATCTATATTAGGGATGCACCGATACCAATATTAATATACTCCGATGCCTAGCGCGAGTCATTACACGTTGCCCGACTTCATGATTGGCAGGGAAGCCGGCTGCATGCTCCCTCTTCACTTGGTGACGAGGGAGCCAGCCAATCAAGAAGCCAGGCAGCGTGTAATGACTCGCTGCCCGGCTTCCTGATTGGTTGGGAAGATGGCCAATGAGGAAGACAGATGGCGAGTCATTACCTGCACCCCGCTTTCCTGATTGGCCAGAAAGCTGGCTTCATACTCCCTCGTCTGGTGGAGCATGGAGCGGACTTCCAGGCCAATCAGGAAGCTGGGCGCCATGTAATGACTTGCCGTCTGGCTTCCTGATTGGTTGAGAAGCTGGTCAATCAGGAAGCCAGGCGAGTCATTACCCGCCCACCAGGCTTCCCGATTGGCCAGAAAGCCGGCTCCATGCTTTCTCATCACCTAGTGACGAGGAAGCATAGATACGACTGCCCTGCTAATCAGGAAGCTGGTGGTGAGTCATTACACACCACCTGCCTTCCTTAATGGGTCTTCTGGACAAACCGGTATCGGTGCATCCCTAATCTATATGGTGTCACCGTTGGCGGCACACCCTTCTATACTAATTGGAGGCAACAGTGTGGGACCGTTTACTGAATGTTAGCCAAAACCTGACATTTCAACCCAATCTGAGTTTCAACCCAATTAGATATACTTTATTATTTAATGCATTTATGCATCTTCGAGCCATATTCAAACTGAGCAACAGTTCAAGTTAAATGCGAAATAAATAATAAACCAACAAAAGGGAAAATGAGTCACAATATTTCTCAGCATACCCAGAGTGCAGCTGAGGAGCACACTTTTTTGCTCTGCTGTTCAAGCCACATGCAAATTAGACACAAAGAACACATAAAAGTAGAAAGTAGATAATCAGTATGCGGTAGACTTGAGATGTTATGAAAGAGCCACAAATCCAGTGTATTATTCATAAACATGTCTTGTGTCATTTAGAAACTGCTATTAGCTTGGCTTTAACCCAAAAAAACTAATGAAAATGTGACTAAGAAAACAGGTCTGGGGTTAAGTAGACTATGGTGCGAATTTCGGCTGGTTCCAGATGAACTGGACGACATTTTCACAGTGGGTGTCGCTGTCAGCAACCTTCTGCTCGGCATCCCTCGATCAGCTGTCTGAAGAAGCAGGTTGGAAATTTCTCAGCCGAACGAAGCTTGCAGCCAGACAAATTTTTGAATTCAGCATGGTTGTGTGTGCCTTCACCCACACAGCCACATCATCCATTTACAGATCCTCTGACAGGATCTGCGAATGAAGAAACTACAAGCTCCACCAGCCGCTGCAGCAGAATTACTAGTAATTCTCAATGGAATACAAGTGCGGTGATGTAATGTCCATTGACACAATGTCCGTACTGAGGTGAATGGACGAAAGGAAGAGTCTGCAGGAGCCAGAGCATTGCACATGCGATCCACTGAGCAATGCTTTACTGGCTCCACTGCAAAAAAAAATACATGCACATTTTTTTTCATGTATGTATTTTACAAAGCTGGAATTTCCCCTTATTTCTTTTATACGAGTATGGCTGTTAGAGGCATATGCACATCATACATTTTAATGCTATATTTCCCCCCTGAAAGGGTTGCTTTTCAGTGATCCATAGCTTTAGTGGATTAATTTTTTAAAGAAGTACCTTCATAGCGCCGAGAGCCTGGAATGTTAGCGCTAATCGTGTTGGTGTGAGAGCTGCAAGCATTGCATTAAACCGGGCACTCGTGTTTTGAATGGATGAACTGTATTTCCCATCAGGAGAAACGGAGCCAAACCTGAGGAAGACACAATGCATGGCATTTTATGAAAGTGGACCAGGCATCAGATATATTTATTCAAGTTAAGTAATGTGTAGGTGCAACATTTACAGCTATGTAATACCTTCCATACAGATCACAGAACTCCCCCTAACAATTCCCTCATCTGCATTTTTTTAGAAGGATGGTGCCATCTTTGTTCAGGCGTCATCCAGGGTCAGCCTCTATTTCCTGGACTGGGAGGCTGACTCAGAGACGAGTCTAAAGTCCCTTCCTGCGTTTATACATACCTCACACAGCTCAGCTCCCTGATGACTCTTTCTTTGTAACTTGGTACAAGTTACAATGCCAAAGTGGTTTTAGCAGAAGGGAGACTAAGGGACTGCTCCTGCTTGCAGCAGAATGATGGCATCCATTTAACAGATTTTATTTTCCTCAGCCCAGGCAAATCACTTATAGAACAAATGGGGGCACCACTGCCAATAGTAGAGTCCAATATGCTATTTTATTTATGAAGCTCAATGGAATAAAACAGCCAACATGTTTTGGGGGGTCTACAATACTCCCCTTCATCGGGGCTTATGGGTTAGTTTGTGGATCAGTTCCTCCAAAATGTTTGGACTCACTGAATGATACAGAATAGTTAGCAGCTGTTGGAATGATTGGAATTTTAGCAGAAGGAAAATCTAGCAACTAACTGGCAGCTGCTGGGTTTGATGACTGCTGTCTCCACGAGTCGGTGGACTTTCGCAGACCCACAGAGCTGCACTTCTGCCTTTAAGTGGCGCCAAGGGCACAAGCTACATGTGCCATACTGTGGATATACCAATGATGGACTGTCTTCAAGTCTTTTCTCTTCAGTGTGCCCCTTATCTCTACATTGCCATAGTTTCCATGCAATAGAAGCTGCCCATAGAGTTCTAGTATTAACCCGCGCCAAATAAATATTTGTAAAAAATTATTTTTCGGTATGCTCTGTGAATGGAACACATAACAAACATATAGTGAGGGTTTCTCAAATTTGACTGTAAATAGTGGCTATGGTCTGTATACCATTTACTTTTATGTTTTATATATTTTGCGACTCCTGTATTACCTGAATATGATCAAAAAAATCAATAAAAAATTGTCAATTGAAAAAAAAAAAAAAATTAACTGTAAAGGTGGAACTACACTTTAAAGCAGCTAAATGACATGGCCAATACTGAGAAAGCTAAAAACTGTCACATATGCTGTGCCTGATATAATGCATGAAACCACTTTTTGGGGTTAATTTATAAAAGTTCTCTATACACTGGGCAGATGCCTTTTGCATGGCACTAGCGCCCCTAGATGGCGCTGACGACTGTAGGGATTTCCTATACTCGTCAATCGCCATAAATTAACCCCTTTCACTGGTGTTTATTATTCATTCCCCTCTGCCATAAGATACTACACCCTCAATTTGTGTTCATGACAAAATATATAAACAGGCTTATTTATAGTGACTGATCAAAAAGGAAAAATTCTGGGCTGTGTACAGCAACCAAAAACATGGTTGTACTATGGCCATCCTAGACTTTTTGTTTCTAACCCGATATAGAAAATCAAAGCTGGAATCTCTCTGCCTGCTATGGGCACCTCAAACAATTTATGTCCTCCCACATAGGGACTCAGACATAACATACAATGTTTCAAAATGAAACCAAAAAAAAAAAAAGAGGAAGAGGAAAAGAATACAGCAATATCAAAAGTTTACTAGGACTGTGTCAACAACAGTGCAATACTTTCTACTTTACAGATAGCCGTTCAATCATACACTTCAGACAAATTGGATATTTAGCCCATGAACTGCACTCAACTAATTGTCAGAGCTTTTTTTCATCCAGGAATTGCTGCCATCCTCTGTCTTAAGAGTCCCTTGTGGCTTGTGACCTGGTGTTTTCAGAACACCAACCCCACCATGGTTGCAGTGTATGGTGAAGTAATTTAGATCCTGCCTGCTACTGTCCAAGTCCATAGACTGGGTCACGAGGCCACATCATTAGACAAAAAAAACCCTCACATCTTTCATCTTGTGGTGCACTTGCTCTGCACTTTTCTCCACAACATGTACACCACCCAGCTTCCCTCACATTCCTTTATGTCTCCCTAGCACTTACAGTGACACTATGGTCCCACTAGGCAGCCTCTCTAGAAAGGCAGAAAAAAGCAGGAGTGAGGGTAAATAGCACATCCTGAGTCAGGCCAAAGTGACCATGCTCTATTCCCTTAGCACTGTCACATTGTTTGGGTGATATTGTTAGCAGCCATTTTGCCTAGAATTGCCATTAGCACCAGTCCATCCTCCCTACCCTTTCTAATTTGAACTAACCTACAATCCCACAGTTGCTTACTTCACCAAAAGATCCACCATCCACTAACCACTTCCGATAACCACCTCCAGGTGGAACTCTTCTTTAGAACTGGCAACAGCTAAGCAAACATTGACTTGAATGGGACTAGACTCCAAAACTAAAGACACTATGGGGCTGATTTACAAAACATTTGCACAGCTCCTCGCTGTGCAAACAAGATTCACAGCCCTGTATGGCCACCAGATGGAGCCGAGATGTATAAGAATACCCTATGCCCCTTGACTCGGTCTAGTGGCCATAGAGAGCCAAATCAGCCCCTTAGACTAATGCCAAATCAAGGCCATACACTGTTATGTTTGATTAACCTACAGGCTGAACAGAGAAGATATAAAAGATTCCTCCATCAACGCTTATGAGCATAAATAGAGGAATCCCCTGCTATTTTGTTTGTATTCTGACAGTGGCCGCCAGCTGCTGTCAGAATACCAGAATGGAGCTAGCTGCTGATTGGTTGCAAGCTCTGTTCATCCGAAGATTCTCCAACCACCTCCTTCGATCTACAGTATTGATGGAGGGATGCTGGCCAGAAGGGTGCAAATAGTGGCACCCACTGTGCAAATTTCGCCCGGTTTATCACATTTGCATAGTGTATGGCCAGCTTTACTGTGCAGGTGAGGTAAGTGCTGAAGAAGATTTTTCTGAACGGGATAAACAACAGCTGTCATGCTGAGGTTGGGCTCCTGCACTTTATACTAAAATTACACTTGTCCTTGAACAGAACACAATTTCAGTACTAAAAGGACTAAATTACCAAGATCAACAACGTCAACAAGATGTACTATAAAGAACCATGCAAATGAAACCGTAGGCAAGGTAAAAAAAACAAAAAATTTATACTACTGTGGTTATCAAAGCACCTTTGCCAAGAAACAGAAAACAAAATGTGTTATATAGCAGAAGTCGCGTGTATTTCCTGCAAAGCCATGACGCATCTCTTATCTGGTTTCACTATATATTGAAGCCACAAGGATTATGCTGTGCTAACAAATATCTCACAGTCATGTGCCTTATTGTACAATATAACGTGACAAATAAGACATTCGTGGATACATCACTAACAAATACCAAGAAAGTCTAAAAAAGACACACTCGTAACTAACATTTTATTTTTGGTAGGTTACCATGTAAGATGTAATACTGTGCAAAATACCTACTAATAATACTTAAAGGCAGGTAGCTGTTTATTATAAATTGTATATATAATTGTATAGTTAAGTAACAGTTACAGGTCTTGCTCCTCCCCCTGCCTGTGACTGGACATTGAAAGGGGAAGTAGCAGACTGATAAGCTCACCTTTCTGCGCTACTCTCCTATCAGCATGTTCCTTGTTAGCACACAAGAACTGCAGCACTGATTAGCTCTGTGTGCTGCTTCACCTTCTCCCCATTCTACAGGGACTACAAGAAGCTAATGCCAAGTCATAATTAGGTAGTTACTCTAGTTGCATTTATTAACTGCTTCAGGACCACAGTACATATATAAACGTCGGCAACCTGAAGCGGTTATACCAAGATCACAGCTGCTGCAGCATACAATTGCTCGTATTGGTGCTGGGAAGTGTGTTTTGACCCCCACTCCGCCACTGCTGCCTGCTATCCCAGGCTCCACTGTCCTGCGTCAGGAACAATGGGTCTGTGTACTTTAAAACAGAGGGAGATCAGCACACTTCCAGTGCCTGATCTTCCCTCTTATCACTGAAAGCGGAAGCAATGTGTATTACATCACTTCCCTTTTCAGTGTGTCATTTCGCTGGCTGCAATAGCCAGACAAGAAGCTGGTGAAGGACGCTCGGTTTTCTAGACAAAAATTCAGATGTTATCGTGTGTGTGCAAAAATTAAGAAATCGCTCTGGACAGCAAGTGGTTAATGTATTATTGAATGCAGAGCTGAATTGATTTGTGTCTTTTCTATGTGCCTGGGGTTCATCTTTAAAGAGCACCTATCACCTACTGTATACAAAATGGAATATTGATCTGGTTTCTTAGCACATACATGATCTAGATGCCCTGGTTGCATTGACTGTACTCTATACAGTTTACAATACATTTGTTCTTTTGTGAACCAGTGTGCTGCGCTTGGTATTGTGATACGTGCTATATTTATACAACAAACGAAACCAATATAAGTGATCAAATCCTACTTGCAACTAAATGCAATCCAAAGGTGCATATGTGCATGAACGTTAATAAATACACGTGTCATATAAATATGGTGAAGGTACGAATATAAAACTGATTGGTTAAATATGATAAGTTAAATAAGTTAATGAATAATATTTACATGTCTGTGTGATGCTACTGAAGTTTAGACAGACACAAATTATAACAAAGAGTCCGGTTATTTTGACTAAATATCATGCTTCTTTGTGCTAAGTACAAAGACTACTTATTAATTGATAGAATCCATTTAGAGGCCTGCAGGCTCATTCCCTGTCATAATCACACTAAAGCTGGACGTTTATGGAATTACGTTGTTGTACAATGCAAACAAATGTGAAGCAATCGTCAGGTTTTATTGTTGCGTCAATGTCACTTTGTAGGAAGAAGTAAATATTTCTAAAGATAATTTACTTAGACTAATGCTGAAGATCAATAGGAAAGCATAACCTTTACATCCTCTCTT